GCTGCCTATGACCTCAAGAACACCATCCCCACCGTCAAACATGGAGGTGGAAACATTATGCTTTAGGGGTGTTTTTCTGCTAAGGGGACAGGACATCTTCAATGCATCAAAGGGACGATGAAAGGGGCTATGTACCGTCAAATCTTGGGTGAGAACCTCCTTCCCTCAGCCAGGGCATTGAAAATGGGTTGTGGATGGGTATTCCAGCTTGACAATGACCCAAAACACACGGCCAAGGCAACAAAGGAGTAGCTCAAGAAGAAGCACATTAAGGTCCTGGAGTGGCCTAGCCTGTCTCCAGACCTTAATCCCATAGAAAATCTGTGGAGGGAGCTGAAGGTTCGAGTTGCCAAACGTCAGCCTCGAAACCTTAATGACTTGGAGAAGATCTGCAAAGAGGAGTGGGACAAAATTCCTCCTGAGATGTGTGCAAACCTGGTGGCCAACTACAAGAAACGTCTGACCTCTGTGATTGCCAACAAGGGTTTTGTCACCAAGTACTAAGTCATGTTTTGCAGAGGGGTCAAATACTTATTTCCCTCATTAAAATGCAAATCAATTTATAACATTTTTGACATGCGTTCTTCTGGATTTTTTTGTTGTTATTCTGTCTCTCACTGTTCAAATAAACCTACCATTAAAATTATAGACTGATAATTTCTTTGTCAGTGGGCAAACGTACAGAATTAGCAGGGGATCAAATACTTTTTCCGTCACTGTAGGTCGGGTGATTGTGGAGGCCAGGTCATCTGATGCAGCACTCCATCACTCTCCTTGGTCAAACAGCCCTTACACAGCCTGGAGGAGTGTTTGGGGTCATTGTCCTGTTGAAAAACAAGCACAAACCAGATGGGATGGCGTATCGCTGCACAATGCTGTGGTAGCCATGCTGGTTAAGTGTGTCTTGATTTCTAAATAAATCACAGACAATGTTACCAGCAAAACACCCCCACACCATCACACCTTCTCCTCCATGCTTCACGGTGGGAACCACACATGTGGAGATCATCTGTTCACCTACTCTGCGTCTCACAAAGACATGGCGGTTGGAACCAAAAATCTCAAATTTAGACTCATCTGACCAAAGGACAGATTTCCACCGTTCCAATGTCCATTGTTCATGTTTCTTGGCCCAAGCAAGTCTCTTCTTATTATTGGTGTCCTTTATTAGTGGTTTCTTTGCAGCAATTCGACCATGAAAGCCTGATTCACGCAGTCTCCTCTGAACAGTTGATGTTGAGATGTGTCTGTTACTTGAACTCTGTGAAGCATTTATTTGGGCTGCAATCTGAGGTGCAATTAACTCTAATGAACTTATCATCTGCAGCATAGGTAACTCTGAGTCTTCCTTTCCTGTGGCGGTCCTCATGAGAGCCAGTTTCATCATAGCGCTTGATGTTTTTTGCGACTGCACACAATTTTCCAGATTGACTGACCAAGTTTCTCTTTGCCTATTTGAGCTGTTCTTGCCATAATATGGACTTGGTCTTTTACCAAATAGGACTATCTTCTGTATACCACCCCTACCTTGTCACAACACAACTGGCTCAAATGCATTAAGAAGGAAAGAAATTCCACAAATTAACTTTGAACAAGGCACACCTGTTAATTGAAATGCATTCCAGGTGACTACCTCGTGAAGCTGGTTGAGAGAATACCAAGAGTGTGCAAAGCCGTCATCAAGGCAAAGGGTGGCTACTTTGAAAAATCTCAAATATAAAATATATTTTGATTTGTTTAACACTTTTTTGGGTACTACATGATTCCATATGTGTTATTTCATAGTTTTGATGTCTTCACTATTATTCTACAACGTAGAAAATAGTAAAAATAAAGAAAAACCCAGGAATGAGTAGGTGTATCCAAACTTTTGACTGGTACTGTATGTGTTCATGAGAGTCTCATCTCATCTTTCCATGGAGGGGTCATAATAGTTTTATAGGCCAAACCATTCGGACGCTACGGATGATTTTGTGAGAAGACCGATTTTCGGGATGTCTCATCGTCTGACAAAGACCGCTCTAGCTCTGTCATCTTTCACCACGGTTGCTGAAGTGCTTTATAGGCGGATTAGGTGGATTGAGACGCATCCAATGCTAATAAACAGATATCTCTTGCTTTAATTTACAGATTATTTGGGGTGTTTTGTATTATGCTAATTTAATTAATGTGGTGGGTGTGAACATCGACCTTATTAAGCAGTGATAACTTGTTTCCTCTGCTAGAAGGGACAGAAACAGAGCCAGACTGTACAGAGAAACAGAGGCGGAGTGCATTCTGTCAATAATAAGCAGCAGTAAATCACTTCAAATACTTCATATTCTGCTTGAGTGAGCTTGCCTGCTTTAATGGACCAATAGAATGGTCCTAAAACTGTAAAGCCACCAGTCTGGCAATCTAGGCACTAGAAAGCTAGCGCAAAAATATTTCAAATACCCAGGTCTGGTGCGTGTGTGTGTACCCTCTGTGCTTTATACTGAGTGGTAATGATAACGTGTATTGAACTGAAGATGGCTGCCCTTCTGGCCCTGTGTGAATAGCACTATCAGCCAGAGCAGGAAATCACTAAGAACGCACATTTCCCCACCGAGACACAGTGGCCACTAGGATGCTGACGCATGAAGAGGCTCTGTGTTGCTGTGTGTATGTTTGTGTGTGTGCCCTAATCCAAGTGTGTGTGTGTGTGAGTGTGAAATTGTGTGTGAGAATACTGTGAGAGAGAGAGAATATTGTGTGTCTGACAATGAGTCTGCCTGTGTATGTGTGCCTGTGTGCATGTATATATTCCTGTCAGAGTGGGTTGCCTGTACTTAAGCATGCGTGATAGCACCTGTGTGTTTGTGTGTGTGTGTGTTTGTTTGCCCTAGTCTTAGTGTGTGTGTGTGAGAGAATGAGATTGTGAGAGAGAGAATAATGTGTGAGAGAACGAGAGAGATAAAATTGTCTGTATAACATCAGTCTGTGCCTGTGTATGTGTGCATTTATGCCTGCCTGTACTTAAGCATGCGTGTCAGCGCCTGTGTGTGTTTGTGTGTGTGTGTGTGTGTGTGCGTGCATGCGTACCTACGTGCTCATAAATGTACAGGTAACTGCCAAAATAATGGAAACACTTGAGTAAAGTTGAGCCACCCTTGTTTCTAGGAAACCATACCCCAAATTAATAATTTGACCAAATATTTAGGAAGAGGTCATCATTTCAATGAGTCTGCAAAGGAAGAAACCATATGGAAAAAGTGGGTAAGTTAGATCCAAAAAACGGATGAATTTGTGTTAGGTTTCATGATGCTCGTATATAAACCAAAGTAAATACTTTTAAGATTGTTCTATACTTCAGCTGGGGGTCTCTATAAGCTTCAATATGAGCTCCTAAATCTAGCATGAAAGTGCATCCCTGTAGCGTTGTGGGCTAATACAGTGCCTTCGGAAAGTGTCGCTGAAAAACATCCCCACAGTATGATGCTGCCACCACCATGCTTTACCGTAGGGATGGTGCCAGGTTTCCTCCAGACGTGACGCCTGGCATTCAGGCCAAAGAGTTCAATCTTGGTTTCATCACACCAGAGAATCTTGTTTCTCATGGTGTGAGAGTCTGTAGGTGCCTTTTGGCAAACTCCAAGCAGCCTGGCATATGCCTTTTATTGAGGAGTGGCTTCTGTCTGGCCACTCTACCATAAAGGCCTGATTGTTGGAGTGCTGCAGCGATGGTTGTCCTTCTGGAAGGTTTTCCAATCTCCACAGAGGAACTCTAGAGCTCTGTCAGAGTGACCATCAGGGGCCGGATTCACAAAACCTTCTTAAGAAGAAATGTATTCTTAACTGTCATTTTTTCCTTAACTATAGACTTAAGAAGAAAGTAAAGCAAAGTTGCTATTCCTCAATAAAGTTATTGGAAATGTTCTTACGTTTTTTCCTATGTTTCTTCCTAAGAAAAAAGTTAAGAAGAAATGGGATTCTTGAAAATAATGCTTTAGGATTTCTTCTTTGAAATGTACTTAACTTTAGGTCAGCTAAACCCTTGTCTTGTGCAGACTGGGCCTACGAGGTGAGCATTTAAAAACAACAACATTATAACTAAAAACATCAATGTAAACCTTAATTTGAAAAGCTTTTAATTACATATTTGACTAAATAATTAATATAATAATAATAATTTTTGTTGAAATGGTCATATAAAATCAAATGATGACAAAGCTAAATGTTTTGATTAGAAAAGTAATTAAAATAACAATAGTCAAAAACAGAATAATCAATCAGGAATATTTAGTGATTCAAAGCTTACTATGATACTGTACAATAAAGGAGGGAAGTTCTTTGGGTAGCTGCTAGAGAGAGGGAGAACCCACAGAGGCCCCTCAGAGATCGGATGGATCCTCTACATATCCCTGACCATGTTCTACTGAGGCAATATCGACTACCACGACACTCTATCATGTACATGGCTGACCTTCTAAATGAAAACTTTAAAAAGAAAGACCATGAGATCAAAAATCAAATCAAATTTTATTTGTCACATACACGTGTTTAGCAGATGTTATTGCGGGTGTACCGAAATGCTTGTGCTTCTAGCTCCGACAGTGCAGTAATTTCTAACAATTTCACAACATATACCCAATACACACAAATCTAGTAAGGAATGGAATTTAAGAATATATACATATATGGACAAGCAATGACAGAGCGGCATGGACTAAGATACAGTAGAATATTATAGAATAGAATACTGTATATACATATGAGATGAGTAGTGCAAGATATGTAAACATTGTTAAAGTGACTAGTGTTCCATTTCTTAAAGTGGCCAGTGATTTCAATAGGCAGCAGCAGCCTCAATAGGCAGATTATGCCCTCATCCAATCATTCTACAAATCATGATAGCCCTGAGATTCCTAGCATCGGGATCCTTTCAAGCCTTGCTTGCAGGGACAGTGGGAGTTAGTCAGTCCTCTGTGAGTCGGTTGGTTAGTGCAGTGTGTGATGTACTGTGTCGTCATGTGTAAAGATTCATCAAGTTCCCATCAACTGCAGCTGAACAAATAAGCACCAAACAAAAGTATTGTGAGGTGGCTAACGTCCCCAATGTCCTTGGTGCAGTGGATCGGACCCATGTGGCAATAAAGGTCAGTGACGATGACAAGCTTCTGTCAAATCATGTTTACATAAGTAGAGTTTGCACCCCACCAAAATGTATTATTTCAGTAGGCCTTATAAGTATCTGATGTAGTCTTACCATTTATCCTGATAGGGTCCACGTGATGAGGAGGAAATTAATGTTAATCAAAATAACTTCCACTCTATCAATGTGCAAGTAGTCTGCAATGGCACACTAGCCTTCACAAATGTTGTTGCCAAATGGCCCGGGAGCACACATGAATCCTTCATTGTATCAAATTCAGGCCTGGGAATCAAATTTGAGGAAGGTCACATTCCTGATGGATGGCTATTAGGTAAAGAAATCAGAAATCACTAACCCTTTCTTTTCTTTACCTGATACCTGTTACCTGTGTAATTGTTTTGTGGTCCACAGCACACTTAAAATAGTGTTGCTTCTTATGATATCAATTTACTACTTTGTATGTTTGGGGTTTTGGTGATAGTGGCTATGGACAAAAAACATGGCTCATGACACCAATCCTACACACTAACATCAATGCGGAAGAGAACTACAACCATGCTCAGATGAAAACGAGGAGTTTAGTAGAGAGATCTATCGGAGTCCTAAAATCCAGATTCGGATGCGTTGACTGCTCTGGGGGAGTTCTTTTATACAGCCCAGAAAAACATGAACGATCATAACCTCAGCATTTATCTTGCACAACAAAACAGGATGCCACATCCCAATATACCTGACATTCCACCAGCTGTACCTGACAAGGATGTTGCCGCTGACCACAATGCAGCTGGTAGATTCAATACTGGCCTACAAGCAAGAAATGACCTCATAAGGAGGAGATTCACATGACAAAAAAGAAGGTTTGTATGATATCGAAACAGATTTATTTTAGAATATTAATCTTCAAGTCTTCTTCGCTTCTCCATGACAAACTTCTCCTTCTCCAGGGCTAGCTTCTCCTGCTCCAGGGCTAATCTCTCGCCTTCCACCTTCAGCAGCTCCTTCTGCACCCTGCGCAGGGTCGTGACCTCCCCCAGGAGCGTCCTCTGGACAGCCACCATCTCCTCCACACCAGCAAGCCTCCTTGCCTGAGGTGGCACTGGCTCGTGCATTGGTGTTACAGGAGTGGGTCGCAGTTCCGGAGCGACCCACTAGGTGTCATCCTCCGACAACCTTAGGCACCTCCTCACTCACAGTCAGGACTAATCATCTTCCTGTTGGTGTCACCTGTGTCTATCTGATTCACCGGTGTATTTATGCCCTCACTTCCCTGTGTTCCCTTGCTCAGTTTTCTCTGCATGTTTCACTATGCCAAGCAGTACTAATCAGTGTCTCATCGTGGGACGTATGGACAGGTACGTGAGAAGTGTTCTCACTGTTTATTTATTATTTCAGTCATAGTTAGTATTTTGTATTTTTGGCTGTCTGCCTGTTTTTTTTAGTCTTATTTACTCCGCCTTTCTTTTTCGTGTAAAGTCTGTTATTTTGTGTCCTGGCTTCGGGACCATTAGTAAAGTTCCTTGTTTCACCATCTCTGCTTACTGTCTAACCTGCACTGCACCTGTGTCACACCTCACACCAACCCTTACACATTGGGGTGTCATGATGGATAAGGATCTGAGACAGGCGCATCTCCTCTGTGTCTTCAGTGATGATCTGTTGAGAAACTACAATTAATCTGTTATGGGAATGATATGTGTTGTAGGCCTATTATAGAATAATAATAATAATAATAATAATAATAATAATAATAATAATTATAATAATAATAATACAATTATTAAATGTGAAATCAAACACATCCGGGCAAAGGGGCATATGGATGAGATCGAGTCTTATTCTGGACAGTCAAACACATTGTGTCAGCATAACAACAACGTTTCAAGAGCTGTAGGCTCGATATGATGAGAGAAGTAAACAAGTGTAACGTTAGCTGCACGACTGGATACTTTTGTAACTATGAACGTTTTCTTGCGCCACTGCCACAGACACAGATGGCTACCAGACATAGAAAACGAATTAAACATGCATTATCTAGCTAGCTAGTAATTAACAATATATTACAATATTCTAGAAGTGTTATATAGCTAGAGTTAGCTCATTAATTTGCAAAGAAGAACTTGGCTAACTTAGCTAACATTAACGTTAATGTTGTTACGCATTAGCTAGCTAGCTAGCTAACTTACCGGTCGCGCAGTCCGAGTCGATACCTGACCGCAGTCCCTCTACCACCTTCTCTCCTATTATGGACAACACCTTCTCCTTCAGCTGGTCCACATGAATGGTCGATACCCCCCTCCAGTCTTCTTCAACTCCCTGCTTCTCTCAGTTCCCTTCTTCTTAGCAGCACTTATGATGCCGGACCACTTATTTTTTACGGGGTCACTGTCCCTTGCCATACCCCAACAGCAGTGACAGACTTGGCCACTGTCGCCCATCCTCTCTTTTTGGTCTCTGCAGTGACCCCGCAGTTATCGAGTCAACCTTTTTCTTGTTGCTATTTCCTCCACTTCCAGCTCTTGTTTGCTGAAGTTTTTATTGTGCTTTCCTTGGCTATCCGTTTTTGGTTTTGATATAGCTAGTCTGATGGCTATATTATGTGAACATTTTTGTTTTTTTGTGTGAGTGTATAAAGGGTTTGCGAGCCAACTAAAAATGTTTTATTCTGGAGACATAAAGCAAAAAAATAAACACTTTATTATAGTGGGCCAAATCCTATCATCCCTGTCACATAGGCTTATTTATTCCTAAGAACATTTTGAGGAATTGCACTTACGAACTATTTTATGAACTTCTTACTTTTTTTCTTATGAAACTTCTTACGTTTTTTCGTAAGTAGTGTTTTGTGAATCCGGCCCCAGGTTCTTGGTCACCTCCCTGACCAAGGCCCTTCTTCCCCGATTGCTCAGTTTGGCCGGGCGGCCAGCTCTAAGAAGAGTCTTGGTGGTTCCAAACATCTTCCATTTAAGAATGATGGAGGCCACTGTGTTCTTGGGGACCTTCAATGCTGCAGACATTTTTTGGTACCCTTCCCCAGATCTGTGCCGCGACATAATCCTGTCTCGGAGCGCTACGGACAATTCCTTCGACCTCATGGCTTGGTTTTGCTCTGACATGCACTGTCAACCGTGGGACCTTATTGAGACAGGTGTGTGCCTTTCCAAATCATGTCCAATCAATTGAATTTACTACAGGTGAACTCCAATCAAGTTGTAGAAACATCTCAAGGATGATCAATGGAAACAGGATGCACCTGAGCTCAATTTCGAGTCTCAAAGCAAAGGGGCTGAATACTTACGTAAATAAAGGTATTTCAGTTTTTTATTTTTAATACATTTGCAAAAATTTCTAAAAAACGGTTTTCGCTTTGTCATTATGAGGTATTGTGTGTAGATTGCTGAGGGGAAAATATATTTAGTCAATTTTAGAATAAGGCTGTAACGTAACAAAATGTGGAAAAGGTCAAGGGGTCTGAATACTTTCCGAAGGCACTGTATAGTCAAAATAAATTGCCTTGTAGTAAGTGGAGCCAATGGCCATGCGGTAAATTGAGCCATTCTAATTATTTCCAGGGATACACAACATCCTGAAATATATTTTTTATATTTTTTTATTTAACCTTTATTTAACTAGGCAAGTCAGTTAAGAATAAATTATTATTTACAATGACGACCTACACCGGCCAAACCCGGATGACGCGGGGCCAATTGTGCGCTGCCCTATGGGACTCCCAATCATGGCCGGTTGTGATACAGCCTGGAATCGAACCAGGGGGTCTGTAGTGACGCCTCAAGCACTGAGATACAGTGCCTTAGACCGCTGCTTGACTTACTGCACACTCCCCTATATTGAAAGCACGTGCTTCCACACAGGTGTGGTTCCTGAGTTAATTAAGCAATAACATCCCATTATGCTTAGAGTCATGTACAGTGAGGGAAAAAGGTATTTGATCCCCTGCTGATTTTGTACGTTTGCCCACTGACAAAGAAATGATCAGTCTATAATTTTAATGGTAGGTTTATTTGAACAGTGAGAGACAGAATAACAACAAAAAAATCCAGAAGAACGCATGTCAAAAATGTTATAAATTGATTTGCATTTTAATTAGGGAAATAAGTATTTGACCCCTCTGCAAAACATGACTTAGTACTTGGTGGCAAAACCCTTGTTGGCAATCAGAGGTCAGACGTTTCTTGTAGTTGGCCACCAGGTTTGCACACATCTCAGGAGGGATTTTGTCCCACTCCTCTTTGCAGATCTTCTCCAAGTCATTAAGGTTTCAAGGCTGACGTTTGGCAACTCGAACCTTCAGCTCCCTCCACAGATTTTCTATGGGATTAAGGTCTGGAGACTGGCTAGGCCACTCCAGGACCTTAATGTGCTTCTCCTTGAGCCACTCCTTTCATGCTGGAATACCCATCCACGACCCATTTTCAATGCCCTGGCTGAGGGAAGGAGGTTCTCACCCAAGATTTGACGGTACATGGCCCCGTCCGTCGTCCCTTTGATGCGGTGAAGTTGTCCTGTCCCTTTAGCAGAAAAACACCCCCAAAGCATAATTTTTCCACCTCCATGTTTGACGGTGGGGATGGTGTTCTTGGGGTCATAGGCAGCATTCCTCCTCCTCCAAACACGGCGAGTTGAGTTGATGCCAAAGAGCTCCATTTTGGTCTCATCTGACCACAACACTTTCACCCAGTTCTCCTCTGAATCATTCAGATGTTCATTGGCAAACTTCAGACGGGCATGTATATGTGCTTTCTTGAGCAGGGGGACCTTGCGGGCACTGCAGGATTTCAGTCCTTCACGGCGTAGTGTGTTACCAATTGTTTTCTTGGTGACTATGGTCCCAGCTGCCTTGAGATCATTGACAAGATCCTCCCGTGTAGTTCTGGGCTGATTCTTCACCGTTCTCATGATCATTGCAACTCCACAAGGTGAGATCTTGCATGGAGCCCCAGGCCGAGGGAGATTGACAGTTCTTTTGTGTTTCTTCCATTTGCGAATAATCGCACCAACTGTTGTAACCTTCTCACCAAGCTGCTTGGCGATGGTCTTGTAGCCCATTCCAGCCTTGTGTAGGTCTACAATCTTGTCCCTGACATCCTTGGAGAGCTCTTTGGTCTTGGCCATGGTGGAGAGTTTGGAATCTGATTGATTGATTGCTTCTGTGGACAGGTGTCTTTTATACAAGTAACAAGCTGAGATTAGGAGCACTTCCTTTAAGAGTGTGCTCCTAATCTCAGCTCGTTACCTGTATAAAAGACACCTGGGAGCCAGAAATCTTTCTGATTGAGAGGGGGTCAAATGCTTATTTCCCTCATTAAAAT